TCTTCATTACCCATTCAAGCCGTCTCCAGCCATTATTAGTCTCAAAGTGGGTTCCTCGTCATCAAATTTGATTATGTAGGTTTCGTAGGAATAAAAAGTATTAGATAAAGGTTAACGGTTAAGTTACCACAGTAAACAAGAATAACTTAGCTTGATAGGTGAGTAAGCAAGGAGGAAGAAAAAATTAATCCGCTAAACACATGGTCAGAAAATTAAAAAAAGGGATGATACAATATGTGAATACATCTTGTAATTCTGACCTGGAGAGTTTACACAATAAACAACGAATAAAAGCCTTTTGTCTCTCATGTTAAGATTTTGAGATTTGTAAAAACTAAGTTAAACCAATGATTTGTGTATGGAACAAATTTCTAACACATAGAGATACCAAAAAGAAATAATATTAAAATGGGGATTTATATGCATGGAAACATTTGTTTTTAAAACCATGATCATTACATGCATGTTGAGTAACAATGTATTTTAAAGTGAAAACTCACTGATGTTAAGTGTATATTAATTTAGTGCTCCAAATCCTATTTGAAAAGAATACATTGCCTTGACTTGAAACAAAACTACAACATAAGGAAATCAGATATTCATCATGCATATAAAATATGTTCCTAAAAAAAAATGAGCAAAAAAATAAAAGCTGAAATATGATAAAATAATACAGTTAACCAATAAATTTGGGGTAATTGATGACTAAAACTAAATTCTCCAAAAAGCTAAGTACTGATCTTATTACTTCATGAGTTACACTACCTTCTCTAAAGCCATTAAGGCATTTGTGAAGTCACCACTACAATAGTAGGCATTCCCAAGGGCCACCAGGATATCCACACAGTCTCGCAAAAGTGACTAAAAACAAGGAACTCTGGCTTAATCGATTGATTATTACCGAGTTAAAAATTCATTTACAACAAAAGATCTTTGAAAATGGACTTAAGTTATAAATCGCAGCAGAAAAATACTTATTATAACATCGTGTCCGTTAAAAGAGAGTTAGCGGTATTGACACTTGAAGTTTTGTATCTTTTTCACATTTTCTAAATTTCCCAAGTCATTAGACTGATTTTATTTACACATGGAGAACAAAACTGTACATATTCTTGAAGGAAAAGCTATAAAATCAAAAGTGCTTTAATCACATATTTATGAAACAGTTACTACAATTTTTTCCAAACTGGAGAATTTCCTGAAATTATTTATATATATATATATTGAAAAATAATAATTCACATATTAAGCTGGTCTTTTTTCGGGTAGATCACGTATGATTCAGCTGAATCAATCTCCTTTTGTGCAGGCCTATTCTTTTTTTTATGTTTGTCTTATCTCAATCAGATGTAGAAGATCAACGTCCTGTAAGTCTTGGGTTATGTCCTGTACTAACTTACAGGTTTTATCTAAGTGACAGATTAACTGAATGTAATCTATAAACACTGGCTTAAGGTTGTAATGTTCCTTCAAGAAAATTTAGTCCATATGATAACAGTAAACATTTTGATCTCACGTTTGAATAACACAGTGAACATCTTCATCTTATGTTTTAATAACACTGTCAACATCTTGATCTCATGCTTTAATAACACGATCAAATCTCAATCTCACATTTTAATAACACTGTCAACATCTTGATCTCACATTTTAATAACACTGTCAACATCTTGATCTCATATTTTAATAACACTGTCAACATCTTGATCTCATGTTTTAATAACATGGCCAACATCTTTATCTCACATTTTAATAACACTGTCAACATCTTGATATCACGTTTTAATAACGTAGTCAACATCTTGATCTCACGTTTTAATAATGTAGTCAACATCTTGATATCACGTTTTAATAACGTAGTCAACATCTTGATCTCGTTTTAATAACATGGCCAACATCTTTATCTCACATTTTAATAACACTGTCAACATCTTGATATCACGTTTTAATAACGTAGTCAACATCTTGATCTCACATTTTAATAACACTGTCAACATCTTGATCTCATATTTTAATAACACTGTCAACATCTTGATCTCATGTTTTAATAACATGGCCAACATCTTTATCTCACATTTTAATAACACTGTCAACATCTTGATATCACGTTTTAATAACATAGTCAACATCTTGATCTCACATTTTAATAACACTGTCAACATCTTGATCTCACATTTTAATAACACTGTCAACATCTTGATCTCACATTTTAATAACACTGTCAACATCTTGATCTCACATTTTAATAACACTGTCAACATCTTGATCTCACATTTT